CTGAAATGGTATTGTTCTTCAGTACCTCAGATCTGATTTTTTTTGTATAGGAATAATGTTGACCAGTGACACTGAATTAGGTGGGGAAAATGCTGCCTCTGCTCTGACTCTGGTGAAAAAGGTTTATTTGTGAGCAGAATAATTCCTGTTACATGCTCTGTGCAGCAGAGCTTCTGCAGCACTCACTGCCTCCTCTGGTGTGTGGAGGGAAGACTGCCCAGAGCCAGGGTGGGTCGGTGTGTGAGGAAGCCAATATGGTCATTAATAGTGGGAAAGCTGGAAGGATGTAATTGGAAACATGAAGACTGGATTTTTCCTGCAGAATTCCATAGAAATATGAGAGAGTATTGGCTGGTGGCTTTTCTAGCAGTGCAGCTGCAGTGGAGCTATGCTGATGGTGCCAAGGGGCTCTTAGGAGCAGAGCCAAAGCTGGAGATGGAGACTTGGCATACCTCAAGTTAACTGTAGGAAAGTGCCTGTGCTTCTCCTATGGGAAAGACAAACTTGGGCCACTGGCACCATGGAGCTTACAGACATTGTTTTGCATTTTGAAGAATTTGTCTGTGATTCTTAACACAAGCCAGCATGTCCAGTAGGTGGTTTTAAATCTGAAAGTGTGACTTGCACAACCAGGCTGTTGAAGGGGATGTTTGCTTTGCTGATGTCCATCACTGTACTAGGCTGTCCTATTCCTTTAATCACTTGAAAGAGATGAATAAAGAGAAAGACAAGGACTGCATTGGCAGACAAAGTTTTCTTTCATACCGTTCAGAAACTTGCACACCAGTATATAATGATGATGTAAAAAATGTGTATGTAAAAAAAAAACCACAAACCCCAACAAACACCAAAACAAAAACCCAACAACCAACCAAACCCCAGCAATAACATCCCCCCCTCACCCCAAAACAAACCAGTATTTGAGGAAAAACATGTTCAGATGTTTTGTCTAACTCTCCTAAACAGTAATATACCATAAAAACTAATCATTGAGCTACAGGAAGGAAGAAATTCCATGATCTGAAAATTGACTGGTATTGGGACCAAGACTATGGTTAAACTAATGTTGGTTTAGAAAATTTTGATCAACTGGAGAATTTTCAAGTTCTGAAAGACTTTATAAAATAAAAATGTTGACAAGTCTTTTACGGTTCACTGAGCAGAACTCATCCCTGTTGGGATTATATTGCCAGAGATGAGCTTGCTTGTGTTAAGTTATTTAAAATGCTTAGAACTGGTTTCCTTTAAGATGTTGAAAAGGGCTATCTTCCATTTTGCTAGAAGGAGGTAGGGGAAAAACAACTTTGTCTTTAGAAGTGGTGGTTTCCAATCTCTAGAGTGAGTATTCAGGATATTTTCTTTGTTCTCTGAAGTCCGTAATTAATATTTGTATCTCAAGAATTCTCAATCTCTGTGAAAACAAAGTAGTTTGAAAGCACATGTGTAGTGCTCATGTGCATCTGGAATGCTTCTTGTGTATATCGCTGCATTTATGTTATACCCAGACCTACATAGCCATCAGGATGTTACAGGCTTAGCATTACTTAATGGCTGATAGTAAAATATAGGCCAACTTTAAAAAGGAAAGACTGACCTATTGTACAGACTGTTCTCAGCCCAGCAAGGCACATAAGTAAGTTGTTAGTTGGAAAGGGTGTGAACTGCTCTTCTCACTTCAGTGAGATTAGTTTAGCAGTTTAAATTATGCACAGGGTTAATCAGTTGCTGAAGATAGCCCTAGTGTGGTTACCATGGAAAAGTTTAGGCTTTTAAAATAGCAGCATGAATGTTTGCTTCCAGTGGCCCCTGCTTTCAGTGAGGTTACCAAATGTTGCACTTCTCTGTGAAAGTTATCATAGCGACCTGGTATTTTTAGTACAGTGTCTTTTTGGACTGGCTCTGTTGTATAGCCCAGGATTCATTCTGCTGCTTCCAGCCTTAGCCAAATGTTCTCTGCAGTTCAGTACGAAATTTGTTATTGCTTCTGAAACCTGAAAGGTTTAGCAATATTGCAGACTTCCATCTTTCCTAATGTTTTGGCCTTCATACTGAGTATGCAATCACTACACTTTGACAATATATTTTGCATTTCATTTTCCAAGCAGTGTTTTATTAGATTAACTCAGATAGGAGGAATAGCTTCACATTTATCATGAGTGACTTGCACATTCAGTCAAACACCGATATTGAGTAGTTTAAATCTCCAGTGTATGAACTGTAAATTAACATTAAAGGACTCTCTTAACATCCATTACTCTGTTTAAACAGTTATGCAGAATTACTAGTTGCCAGTAATTTCTCCTTGAATACAAATATATCATCTATTCTAATGTTGTTTTGACTCTCTTGATCAGCATGTCATAAGAAGAATATCTTAAAATTAGGAAATGACAAGGCTGAATAGTGCAATGGATAATTGAGATTTTTATTGCCGTTCAGTAGAAGTTTCAGGTTTGCTTGCAGCTCAAATTACTAATTTTCCTAAAAGCCAGTAACACTTTTGTTGCTGAGCACAGTCCCAGAGGATAAATATCCATCCTGCTGGGACCACCGATTCAGCCTCTTGATTGTCTTATAAAAAAATCTGACCTGTGAAGAGGTGAAATATGCATTCTTCTGTTGCAAGGGATGACATTCTTTGAGTAAAGTAGCTCTTTAAGGCATCTAGGCAGAACAGTGTGGAGAGTATTCACTACAGACTTTTTTTTGATAAACAGAGAATTTCAGACCACGGAGTTCTCCATTTATCACATTGCACAAGTGTGAGAAATTTGGACATAGGCACAATAAATAAATCAGTAAAAACCCCATTGAGCATGCTGCAGGATGCATTTCAGACTAGAATCTAAGAGCAGAACTGTTGGTGAAGCGCTTTTCACTTCCAGTTCATGTAGCAGCTGTGAAAAATAGCTTTGCATCTTCATAATACCACAGCAGTTTATTGATTTGCACTATAATCTAAGGACTGGGATCTGTGCTTCTCAAGGAGCTTAGGAAGCTTGGTGACAAGCACTCAATGCTTCCGAAGATTGAAATTGGAAACTCTGACTGCTGAGATCAGGGCTGTGTTAGCACCCATCTGTGACAATACCTTCTCGCTGTGTTGCCACATACTCACCTCACTGCAGTGTGACTCCACCTGCTTGTCCTGCCTCCAGTTACCTTTGCTATCTCCCACTGCGTGCTGCAGGGAGCACAGTACTAAGCCATTAAACCTTACCTCCTCATCTGTTCTCCATTCCTCCTTGCAACCTGCTGCACACCTTTTCCCACCTCATGCAGCTAAACAAGGCAAACCACGGAGCTGGAAATTCATTAGTTCTTCTCAGAACTGAACTTATCATGCCTGAATATTATTTGTTTTAAACCACATGGGGATGAAGATCCTGTGAAGTTCCTTGATTTGTGTTTAGGGGAAAATAAAATGTCAATTTAAGCCTCTGATCTTTTGTAACAGCATATAGAACTCCAGTGTTCAAATTAATGCTTAAAACAGCTGTTTTAGTCACGTTTAACCAGAAATTAATTAGCCTGGAAAGGAATGACTAAAACTTGGTTACATTTAAGACTATATTTCAGCTTCCATCTGTGGCGAAATCAAGACCTATTCAGCTTTATGATCATTCATGGAGATGACTTGATTTTTATTCTTACAGATTACAAATTTCTTGCTTGCTCATTGTCTTTGTATATTAAGAATGACCTTATGTAAAAACTCCTCATGGTTTAACTTTCTTAGTAGGAACATTATCATGCACAGTTAGTTGAAACCTCTGCGGTGAGAAAAGGCACGTGCTCAAACAACAAAAGCCTGGCTCTATCCCTTAGCTGATATGTGCAAAAGCTGATCTGTGCTCATGCTTGATAATAGTATATAGCAGCTAGCTGTATGTGTGATCAGTTGTGTATCCAGTTACTGTATTTATGCACACAATATTAATACTTTCATACCAAAACTCTCTTGTCTTTTTATATCTAACCACCACTGTCCTCATCACTAGTGTGGTAGCAACTGCCTGGCATAAACAGTGAGATGGACAAATTTATCCTTGGAGCAGCCAGTCTTTAGATATAGCTGTTTTGCAGAAATATTTGATTAGAAACAACTCACTCTCGTTGAACAATAAAAAAAATGAAACCATTGACTTCTTAAATCGAAACATATATTTAGAATGATCTTGGAAAAACACAAAACTTTTCACAGCATGTAAGCTTTGTGTGCTGGGAAGCTGTGACAAACGCCTTGCAGAATAACTGCTGTTTAGGTAGTGGTCATGCCCATTCAGTACAGCAATAAAACGGGGTCTGTTGCTGGCTTCATGGACTTCAATGTCTCCTACTACCAGTGTTGAGTTTGTGGCAGCCTGATGCAACCCTCCATGGACTAGGCTTTAAGGTGCATTTAGAAAGCAAATGTTGGGCTGGTTGTCAGGAAAAGCCTATACTGTGAGCCTGAAGGAGCTTGATCTATCAAGACTGAGGTGCTGCAATGCGTGTTTGAGTATTTTTAGATCACATACTCTTTGGCCAAAGAATCTTCTGCTTCTCCCTTATAAATGTAGTAGCTATCTGTGGATTTGTTTAGGACAAGCAGTATAAAAAATACTGTCATGATGTGAGTCTGAATATGTTAAGAAGCTATTTCTCTCCATTCCAGCTGGTTAAAGACTATAAGCAACATGCGAAGGACTGTACTGTGCCCCTCACATGTACACAGGCAAGTCCTATCTGAGACAACACATGACTGTAATGGATTTACAGTGGGCAGGCAGTGCCCTGCATCTTTTTATTAAAAACTGCTGTAGTCAGAATACTTGCATATTGTCGTAGGTAAATGGATGATGGTCAAGGTTTTCCTGGGGAAAGCAGGCATTTAGTTGGTAAAAATCTAAGTTTTCTTCGATTTTTATGCTTAGTATGTTTTCTAGCCTCTTGTTCACATAATAGTATCTTCTATTTCTTCCCTTTAGTCTTACTTCTTGTGATTAACGTTACACTTTTCATGCCAATGAAGTCATCTGGGGTTGACCTGCAGTGTGGTCAAGCTGGAGTTTGAACCCTCCTAATCCTAGGTCTCCTTCATGAATATCTTCCTTGCCTGTAGCCTGGGTGGAGCCTGTTTTGTCCTGGGCTGGCACTGATATGTGAGCAGACAATTCACAGTTTTCGGCCAATTCATCATTATTTATGATATAATCTGTGTCATCATCCTTCAGTTGATCCTGTATTGAAACAAAGAAAAAGATCAGTAGAAGGGAGACTCTTGAGGGGGACTTCTGTTGAAGCTTAAATGAAAAACAAGTCTGATGCAATTCCACTTTCATTTTATTTCATTATTTGCTTATTGTTTTCAGATGTTAATTTACCATCTTGATGTTGATTAAAGCAAATAGTTGCTTACCATATTCTGCTCTCGAGCAGTGTTGAGAAACATAACCTACCTTTCAGATCTTTAAGACAATTTCAGTGCTTAAATATCACTGAGGAGCCCATACTTTCAGCATGTGGCTTAATTATTTAGAATGTCACTCATATTTGAAGCTCACTGTATTAGTGACTGTTCTTGAAAATGTAGCGCTAAAATTTCTGAGACCTCTTCTCCGCAACCCTCAAGAAATTGTGTAATTTTAACCTTAAAAGTAATAAGCTTTGGAAAAGAGTCCTTACCGAAGTGTTTCACTGAGTATGGCAGGTTTTGGATTACACCTTAACCACGATTAACCAAGCGAGTACTTACACTGTATGCACTGGGGCTGGTCAGAAGCCTGGCAACAGGATTGCACCATTCGGGTAATGTTGTTGTGAGAGGTGGACCCGTGTGGGTTAAGATAGGTTTTAGGTATCTGTGAAGTTTGTTAAAGAATATTTCCCATACAGATATTGATACTAACATGCTTCTCTGTTACAAAAAGAAATCTCATTTTAAAGCATAAAGGGGTATTCAAACTGAATGGAAACATAGAGAATACCATCTCTTTACCCACCTGTTACTGCATACATTCACCTGTCATCAGTCTTGTTCAATGTTTTTAAGTAACAACAAAAAACCTAAAACAACACCCCCCCCAAAAAAAAAAACCCAAACAACCCAGCCAACCACAAACAATAAAACCAACAAAACAAAACAATAAACCCAAACCAAAACCCAAAATACTTTCATGCTCAAAATCTGTCTTGAAGGGGTACCAGAATGGCTGAAGGGGATGTGTCATGGGATACATAAAGGCAGTAGGAGCTGGAAGAGAAGAAATGTGTACTGGATCATCCTGTTTACTATTCTTGTCTTCTGTTTGCTGTAAGTGTGATCTCTTATGCAATTTTAACAGGAAACAATTTGATGCAACTGTATCAGCTACTTTATGTAAGAACAGTAGTGAACATTTTCCTAAACGCATAAGCTCAACCTTTTGTAAAATCAGTGCGTTTCTTCAACAGGCAAAGTATATTTCGTAAAAATACTATTTCTTTATCGCTGGGAGTGTACTTAAGTTGTTCTCTGTAATACTTTATTTTCAGCATTCAATGTATTTGTTCTGCACTTCATACATCAATGCTTCTTTATATAAGATTATGTAAATAAGTCAGGAACAGGCTTTACACTATTCTCTCACACCTGTCTTTCCAATCTTTTAATCCAAAAGTGCTTTGTTGAGATAAAAGAAAAATCTGCTCATCTTGAGCAATTATATCATCCCCATATCTGTCAGTAACAGCTCTCCCATGAGTGCCTCAAGTTGACTTATCTTCTCTGCTACTTTTACTCTCAAAGTAGTTTTCAGTGTTCTTTGGGAAGCAGGTCTGTCAGCTATTTTTGCTGCTAGGGAAAATTTGCTTTATTGATTGTTGTCTCACTTCCCCCTGCTCCTTTCTCTTGCTTTTTTGCTTATGTGCTCTCCCTCACTCTTTCTGTCTGCTTTCTTAAAGAAGAAACAAACAAATATAAAGCAGTAGTGATTTGAGCTCTGCAGCAATATTGTAAAAGTACTAAGTAACAGTCGGTCTCAACCATTCCAGTGCCTACTTTTCTTTCGATATTGGCTGTTTATGGTATCGCTGTTTTACACACAAAGTACAAATTCTGTATCCTGAAGAAACTGTTATGTAAAACCATCCTTATGATCTCAGTTACAGACTTCAAGGCTAAAGAACTTGCTCTGTTGTCCTCTATACTACAGCCATGGAAGTTGCTCAATAGTACTGCGTTTTGTGTGTATGCGTTAGTGTGGTTTTTAAAAAATTAAATTGCATCTATCAGAAGACTCTAATTCCTTGATCCAAGGTCATACACTGAGTTAGTGTGAAAAATTGAGTCTACTTGAAAAAAAATAGTAAGAATTTAATGTAAATTCTTATCAGAACCATGATCAA